GAATGAGACAAGGGATGCGATAAAAACTCAGGGCGCTAGAAATAGGGAGGGGTGCCAGGGTTTTGAACCCACGCATCCAAATTTGTATTTCTCTTTCTCTTGGCATTTCACGCACTTACATGTCAATTTGGAAAGAGTCATCCAGAAAAAGTCTTGATTTGATTTGATCTGATTTAACTTCCTGTAGAAAAATGCATACTGCAGACACGGGGAAGGGGAAGAGTGAAAAATGAGTCCGAGTTAGGACTGTTCCCTTCTGTTTTCCCCTGTAAACAGGGAGAGGAGGCAAAGCAAGCTCAGTTGTATTCTTGGTGCCTGTCACTTTTATTTAGCTGGAGCTTGATCTTGTGGCAAATAGGGATCAGGGTTTCGGTGTCCCGTTCATGCCCATGCTATTGATTTTCCTGGAAAAAATATATATTTTTTTTCAAATCTCTCTGCAAAAAGGGGATAATGGTGCCCCTAACGTGTCACATGTTTCAAGCTCTTGAGAATCCGCAGGAAGAGACATTCCAGCCGCGCAGGCGGGTGCGTGCGTGGAAAACAGCAGCACGTTGGTGTTCGGGTCGCGTCTTCGTTAATGGGAATAGAGGGATCGCGGCTTGGGGTGGCCCTATCCAAGCCTGGAGCGGTCCCGTCGCGCCCTGGGTTTTAGTTTCTTGATGATGGCAGATAGCCCAGGTGAGTTGTTAAACCCTGCCTAGGTCAGATGATGTTCCTGAGAGCATGGCGTTGGAGCAGGAAGGTTTCCAGCAATAAATCCCTGATTTAGCAGTTTGGGAGCACGTATCAGCGCTGTGAGGAGGAGCAGCCAGCGGCCGGAGCCGCGGCCGGCGGGGGCAGAGCCCTTCCCGCTGCATCCCGGTGCATCCCGGTGCATCCCGGGCTCGGAGCGGCTGGCAGCTCCAGCCCGCGGAGCTTCTCCGGGGCTAATTGCCTCTTTGCTGCGCCGACTCTAATGTGACATGTTTATTGCCTTAACTAACAACTCATTAGCTTAGTTGATGTTTTTGTCAATATTAATTCGTTCATTTAAGCCGAATCAAAGCTTAAACAAAGATGTCCAGGCTGAGAAACGCGCGGCGGCGGCAGCGCTTCTGCTTGGGCCGCCTTTGCCCACGGCTCCGTTTCCCAAGCGGGAATGCCGGGAGGGATCCCTGGGAAGGGCAGGGCCACCCCTCATGTCTGCGAGAGGAAACCAACGCTGGAAACACAGGGGCCGCTCCATGACAGGCGGCTGCTTAATGATTCTGGGCAGCAGCTCAGCTAGGACGGCTTAAACCTAAAGCCAGGCCTATGGAAATCAATACTGAAGGCCGAGCGAGCGTTATTGCAAGCAGTAAGAGGTAAGTGGCAGCAGTAAGAGGTAAGTGGAGCCGCCCTCGCCGCTGTCCCCGCAGGCAAGGCGCTGACGTTCCTGCTGCTGCAGCCGCCCAGCGCGCGCCTGCCGGCGCACAGCACCATCCGCCGCACCGCCATCGACCTCGTGGGCCGCGGCTTCACCGTGTGGGAGCCCTACATGGACGTGTCGGCCGTGCTCATGGGGCTGCTGGAGCTCTGCGCCGACGCCGAGAAGCAGCTCGCCAAGTAGCAAGGAGGTGTCCCCGGGTTGCTGGTCCTGGAGGAGCAGCTCCCCAAGGAGGTGTCCCCGGGGTGCTGATCCTGGAGGAGCAGCTCCCCAAGGAGGTGTCCCCGGGGTGCTGATCCTGGAGGAGCAGCTCCCCAAGGAGGTGTCCCCGGGGTGCTGGTCCTGGAGGAGCAGCTCCCCAAGGAGGTGTCCCCAGGGTGCTGGTCCTGGAGGAGCAGCTCCCCAAGGAGGTGTCCCCGGGGTGCTGATCCTCAAGGAGCAGCTCCCCAAGGAGGTGTCCCCGGGCGAGCTGCCCTCTGCACCAGTAAAACCACCTTGCCGTTGGCTGTTCGGGGATTAAAGCGCAGTGAGAAGTCTCTTAAGTCAGGCACTTGGGCATAAAGTGCATCTTAAAGTTGTAATAGTGCTCACACTTGCTGGGCTTGGAACGCCAAATGTGTCCATGTTCCCTATAAACAGCCCTGCATTCCAGCAACTCCAAGTCCTGGCTGCAGAGCATTCCCGGAGCTTCTCCGGGAAACTCGCGACAGCCATAGACATTGAGCAAAAGCTGTTTCTAAAAGAAAAACAAGTGATTTCACTCAGTATGATAGTCTGGTGTTAAATGAGTGAAGTAAGAACCAGTTCTTTGAATTTATCTGCACATAATGCCACTGTTGCACCAGCCCCGCTTGGGTGTTTGTTAAATCACAGGAAATTATTACCTTCCTCTACTCACAGGGCCATCAGCCTTTCCACTGTTACAGGGCTAAGAAATGAAAATTTACAAGATCAGAGCTGTGAAGCTTAAGAAAAAAACAGTTTGACCTCTGGAGGTCCCTTCCAACCTTAAGCAGTCTATGACTCTATGAACACTTTAATCTTTCACAAGCAGTGTAGTTATTTTTCCAAGGATAACGTTAGTGGCAGGGCAGAGAACATAGAAGTAGCGTTAGGACAGAATGGGAAGTATCCTGGGAAGCTGCCACGGCCTGGGATCCAGCCAAGGGCTGCCGGGGCCGATCCGGGTGCCCGCAGCAGCCGGCGTTCCCGGTGGGCCGGGGAGTCCTGCAGGACACGGCCGGATTCCTGCCGAGGATCCACGGACTTCGTTATCCAAGGCCCAAATGCAATAAATTTCAATTTGGGCCCCGGCGCTCGCCCGAACGGGCCCTGCTCACCCCATTAATCTGATTAATGGAGCCGGCAGCCCCGCGCAGCACGGGGCTCTGCAGCAGGGCCCTCCGTGTTGTTGTTTGCTCTAGAATTGATCATCTTGTCGCAAGTTTATTCTAAATCTCTATCTGAATAGATTTTATTTTTAAAAACGTTCCATCTCCCCCGTCTTTTTTCTTTTTGAGACTAGGCTCGCTACGAGACACTCAAATCATAAACTCTGCTTTCAAGAAGCCTTTTGGCCAGGCATCCTTCAGGCAGGTCCCCAGTTACTCAGGAATCTTCACTAAGTTTGTGCCTTCTAAGAGTACCAGTTGCTATCTAAGTGCAAAGTAATGTAGGATTAATAAAGGGGATAGATCATTAAACCACCCGGAATCACACCGGTGCTGGCCAACGCTGCAGGTTTAATCTTTCCCAGGAATAAAAGCTAGCTCGGGCTGTGAACGTGCACTGAAGTGACACGGTTACTGGAAGGAAAAGCCGCAGTTTGTTCACACGTAGCTTCCCCAGCCCTGGGGGACAGAGATCGCCTTGGGCCCCGGAGCCCTTGTGCTCAGCGGGCAGCGCTGCCTGTGCAGGGGCGCGCAGGGGTGTGCAGAGGGGTGCAGGGTGCACGGGGTGTGCAGGGTGTGTAGAGGTGCCAGGGGTGTGCAGGGGTGCACTGGGTGCGCAGGGATGCTCAGGGGTGCGTGGAGTGTGCAGGGATGCTTGGGGGGAGGGTACACAGGGGTGCACAGGGTTGTGCGGGGTGCACAGGGATGTACAGGGGTGCACAGCGGTGCTCGGGGTGCACAGGGTTGCTCAGGGTGTTGCGGGATGCACAGGATTGCTCAGGGGTGCACAGGGTTGCTCAGGATGTTGTGGGGTGCACAGAGGTGCTCAGGGTGCTCAGGGGCGTGCAGGGATGTTCAAGGGTGCAGAGGGTTGCTCAGGGTGTTGCGGGGTGCACAGCGGTGTGCAGGGATGTTCAGGGGTGCTCAGGGTGTTGCAGGTGCGCAGGGGTGTGCAGGGATGTTCAGGGTTGCTCAGGGTGTTGCAGGGTGCACAGGATTGCTCAGGGTGCACTGGGTTGCTCAGGGTGTTCCGGGGTGTACAGGGTTGCTCAGGGTGTTGTGGGGTGCGCAACAGTGCGCAGTGTTGCTCAGGGTGTGCAGGGTTGCTCAGGGTGTTCCGGGATGCACAGGGTTGCTCAGGGTGTTCTGGGGTGCTCAGGGTTGCTCAGGGTGTTCCGGGATGCACAGGGGTGCCCAGGGTTGCTCAGGGTATTGCGGGGTGCGCAGGGGTGCTCAGGGTGCGCTGTTTGCGCAGGGGCAGGGGTGCCGTGGTGGCCGCGCATGCGGGCGCCGTCCTGGCTCCGTGTGTCTCACGCCGCTCTCCTCCCCGGCAGCATCACCACGGCCACCATCGCCAAGGAGGTGGGTGCCACTCGGGCACGGGGACGGGGACCTGCGCGGGCACCCTTCCTCCCACCCGAGGAAGAACCGGGGCTGCTCCTGGCATTCCCGGCGCTGCTCCTGGCATTCCCAGCGTTCCGGGGTGCCCGCTCGAGCTGGGGAGCTGCATGGGGCTTGCCCCGGTGTGCTGGGAGCAGCAGGACGGCCGTGCCCTAAGGCATCCTCGGCCTCCAGGCTGGGCCTTCTGCCAGCCTAAGGGACGGGTGGGCTCCAGTGTGAGGCCAAAAAATGTCCATTGCTGCCTGTGGAAATCCATACAAATATGTGAAAGTTATGTAAAGGATGAAGACTCAGGCGTTTGTTTCCCTTCATCCTTAGTTTTACACAACTAAGAAGTATTCGAAGTCATCAAACCCTTGTGTAAATACTGCACGGAGGATAAGCATCATCCGTAGAGAATTTAAATCTCCAATGTAGTGATTGCTAGCAACAACCTGGGGGGAGATAACCCATTGGTCTCCCAGCAAAGCAAAGCCCGGTACAGATTCTCCTAAAGTCACAGTTTATGTTCAGCTTATGTCTTAAAAAGCAGTTGTTTTGCGATGCTGTATGAACCGAATTGAAACTTCCAGGTTGGCCATAAGGGGTTTCAGTGTTTGTAAATGATACAGTTCTCAAATTTGTAATTCTGAGTGGTTGCTGTTTAAATGGAAGCCCTTGGGCTGGTTTCTCGGCCTCCTGCAGGTGCACAGGCACACGGCGCTGGCGGCCAACACGCAGTCCCAGCAGAACATCCACACGAGCACCCTGGCGCGGGCCAAGGGCGAGATCCTGCGCGTCATCGAGATCCTCATCGAGAAGATGCCCACCGACGTGGTGGACCTGCTCGTGGAGGTGCGGCGTGTGAGAGAGGAGCAGTTTGTTGTTTTATGGCTGTTTCCTGGTGCTCTGGGTGCTTGCTCGGGCCCTGGGGTGGTGGCACTGCAAAGCCCGTTATGTGCAAGCGAGGTTCTTCCTTATCCCAGTCGTGGAGTCATGGAGATCTCCAAGCTGCATCCAGGCACAGCAATCCTCCCTTTTCACCTGTCTGGAACGTGCGCTGCGAAATCCCCAGTGTCCTGCACTGAGTGACTTGAGCTCTTATTCCCAAGGTTATGGACATCATCATGTACTGCCTGGAAGGATCCCTGGTGAAGAAGAAGGGTCTTCAGGAGTGCTTCCCAGCCATCTGCAGGTGAGCCCTCCTGCAGGCACAGAGCTGCTGCCCTGATCCTTGATATTAAAACACCAAACGTGCAGAGTGCTCTTAGCACACGTGAGCCTTCACAGGGCTTCCAATCCCAGCCTCATCTAACAGAGATACGCATCAGAAAAGCTCTATGTCACCTCACAGCTCTTTGAGGCCCTGGTATTTAAAAACTCGGCAGGCAGGGGGATGTCAGGCCGTGTCCGAAGGGTCTGGCTGCTCCCGTCCCCCATGGCAGCTCCGCGCACCTTCACGGGGAGCTTTTAAATAATAAAACGTGATTTATAAAACAGGGACGTTTGTACTGTCCTCAGCCTGTTATCAATATCCCGGTTATACTGTTAAACCGGTACAACCAATAAATTAACATACTCGTCTGTCGAGTGTTACGTTTTAACTTAATAAGCTATTAAAATATTGAATAGCCTCAAGAAAAGAACTATTATCCTGCTGGAAGATAAGATACTGATAGAGGTAATCTTCCCGCTTCTTGATACTTTAAAAGGCTTAACTTAAATTTAAGTGCGAGGGCAAGTGAGAATTAATGTAGAAAATCTTCCTATTTCACTAGTACCTTTATGGTGCTACGTTGTCTTAAAACTTGGTTAAATTGCTAGCAGTATTTCCTCTTCTACATAGTTATAGCCATTGTAAAAATGATGCAGCACCCCACTGCGCCGATCATTGAGCCCGCTGGAAATTTTCTTAAGATTTTAGCAAAGCACTGAATCTCTGGAGGGATTCCAAGTGCAAATACCTTGACATAATCCTATTACTAATTCTTTAACATCCTAATGCTCTTTCTGCTGTACCGCATTGCCCGGGCGGATGCTGTGATGAAGCCGCTCTGCTTGCATGGGCCTCATTTCTTAACAAAGTGTTGAGAGAATCCAATGAATGGGAAATATTTTTGATGCTTAAAAAAACCCCCACCGTGCTATGATGCTCTCGAGGGCAGCGTCATTCCATTTGACTTGAGCGTTTTCCAGATTCAGCAGCTACATCGGGGTGTTCCCAGTGGGATCTGCTTGCTCAGTATGCATCTGGTTAGCACATACTGATATAAAGCCTTCTAGATATCCTTTCACAAAAGCTACCTGGATTTAAAATAGCAACTATTTAGCCTGGCTTTTTCCAGGGAGCAGTCAGTGCTCCGAGAGATGAAACAGAGACGCGACTTGGGTGAACAGTCAACTTCCCTTTTCTTGCACTGTTCCCTCTATTTAGGAATCCAAATAATAGACTTTACTTACAGCAAAGTGCTAAAATCTGATGAATTTAATGCAACTTGATGAACTCATGGCACTTGTAAATTTGGAAGGCCAAAGAGCCTTCCTTTATGAAGACCTTTATAAGGTCCAAAGACCTTTATAATCAGTACCTCATGGGTGCTCCGCAGTGTAAAAGGCCTGAGCCCTGAAAATAAACCGATAACTCAGTCTGCGTGGGGAAATAATAGATATGATAAGTGATAAAAATACCAAATTGCCTAAAATGGAGGCAGTGAGCCCAAAGCTTCACTCACACCACCAACCAGATAGGTGGGTGCCACAGAGCTGGGCTAACTGGAGGGTGAGCAGAGCAGAGAGAAGGGGATACAGGAAACCTGGTGCTGAGCTGGGAATGTCAGGGGAAGGGGCAGTAGATCATGGGAAGGGTGGCCTGGCGGCTGCTGGGGAAGGCAGCGCTCCAGCCCTTCTCTTAATTACCCCGGCCGTTAATTGCAGTGGCTTCCGTGTCCCCGCAGGTTCTACATGGTCAGCTACTACGAGCGGAGCCACCGCATCGCGGTCGGCGCTCGCCACGGCTCCGTGGCCCTCTACGACATCCGCACCGGGAAGTGCCAGGTACGTCCGCACCGCGACGCCTCCCCTGCTCATTTTTCCCATTAAATTCCTCGCTGTGGAGCGCTGTGCTGCTCCGGGCGGCTCGGCCGCGCCGGGCTGTCCCGGTGGATCCGCTCCCTGCCCTCCTGGGGAGGCTCCGAGCGCTCCCGGAGGGCAGAGCGGGACGGGCCTCCGCAGAGGCTTGGGAGGACGCGGCGGTGGCCTCGGCCGCGGCCTTCGTCGTTCCTGGTGAGGGAGGGAATGTGGGATTGCGAGGGGGCAACGCCATCTATCGGACACGGGGCCGCCTCCCACGGCCTCCCATCCTGGATGCGGCACCCCGGGCTCCCATCCTGGATGGGGCATCCCGGGCTCCGATCCTGGATGGGGCATCCCGGATTGATGCCACGGCAGCCGCAGACACACCACGAGTGTCCGGTCTCTTTCCATCCTAAATTGCCTAAATCTTTTTTTGAAGCCATAAAGATGATTTCGCGTTTACTGAACACATCTGTGCTATGAAAGCACGAGGGCCTCGAGGTCCACGGCACTTTCTTTTTTTTACAGTTCACAGGGAATTGTCCACATTTTTGAACGTGCATCGGAACCGGTCGGTGGATAGGAGGGGAGACCGTTTGCTTTTGCGTTTGTGGCTCTCGTTAAGGGTTAATTGAGATTGGTGCCATAGACGGATGGATGCCAAGAATCACCCTTTTTTCACAAATCGTAAATCACCATTTTTATGCGGTAGGCTTTTTCCAGAAAATGTATAATATTAGTATCACTTATTGAACCCGGTGTCAGTTATTGATACAAGCAGCAAGGGGTTGCCTGGGAGCACAAGCAGTCGGCACGGCCGTGTTTTCCGTGTGTTTCTCCTCCGGGTTCTTGCACGGGAATTCCACTGTGAGGACTCCAGCGTGTCCCCAGGGGCTGCCGGAGCTCCGCATCCTGCACGGGAAACAGCAGGAAAACTGCCGGAGAGGCTGGCTCAGAGCGGCCCTGGGAATCTCGGGATAATCAACAGCAAAAAATAATCAAATAACGGTTCAAAAATAAAGTTAGCCCCCTGTGGCCAGCTGCATCGGCTGCCGCAGAGGTTGAGCATCACCCGCCCCGCAAAACAGGGTCGAGGTCTCGGCAAAACCTTCCATCCTCGCAACCCGTCGACCACGATTTGACGCTGATTATTGATGATCTCGCAGCCCTTCACTCACTGTGCCGCTGCGGCCGGCCTCGATGTGCAGACAGGGCTTCGGTCCAGCTCGAATAAGGCTCCATCTCGATAAGGGGCTGAGAGGAGATGCTGCAGCTTGATAAAGGTGATTGATGTTCTGCAGCGAATTGGCAAGCGGCGCGGCGTGCCCGGGGCTCCTCGGCCGGCGGGGACGCCCGCTGCGTGTGCTGGGATTCTGCGTGAGGCTGGAGATCATCGTCAACATGCAGGTGAAACTGGGCTTCTCCTTCAGAGGGGTCCTGCTAATGCAGGGCCCGGGGCTGCCCGCGGGGTCGCAGCCGTTGCTGTCATTTAGGAGACATAAAGACCCGAGCGGCCCATCCGGCAGGGGAGAAACACAGGGACGTTTCCCTGCGGAGGAGCCGGAGGACGCGGGAGGATGGAAATCCTAAAGAGGCAGAAATAACTAGGTGTTTTTTTAAAAAAAGCAGTTGGAAAGGCGCCGTGTGCTTTTCCAACGCGGTGACATTGATTTTGCTCCAGCTGCTGCTCCCGCAGCGGGAAGCGGCTGCGCCGGGGGGAGCGGGCTGCCCTCCCTGCGGGAGAAACGGGAAAACGCTGGGAATGCCGCAGCTGGGGAAAGCAGCTGGGGGAGCTGAGCCCTCGCTATGAAAGCGCAGTTTGCTGGCGCTAGATGCCGTTTATTAGCAGTAAGTGGGAAAAGGGAATGTTCTCTTCCCGAAGATCCCGGTTGCCTCTTAATTCACAGTCCAGTTTAGTTCAGGTTGGAATTTTTCATGGCTTTTTCCTCCCACTAGCGGTGATGTTAACGGAGCGAGGGGTTTGCAGAGGCCGGTCCCCCTCCCTCTCGGGAGGGTCCCACATCGCCGCTTACCCAAACCTGCTCTATCGACAAGGGTTCCTGGCTTGTTAAGTGCTCAAGAGTTTGATGGATCTGAACCTTGGATCCTCTAATTAATTGCCCTGCCAGCCTCTCCCACTAAGCAGTATGTGATGTATTAAGGGCCAGGTTTGCGGCCCTCGTGGAGGTGGCTCCCTGTGCGCGTGATGTGCAGTGAATCCATCCCCGCGTCGGTGCCCGGGTCCCTTCCAGCGCCCGGTGTCATCCTGGGGGCTCCTCGGCAGCCCAGGCCTGGCCAAGGGGCCCTTTGCTGCTGCCCGAAGCCCAGGGGATGGTCACAGGCCCCTTGGGAACCCAAACCGGGGCCCTTTGGTGCCGCACGCAGGTCTGCCGTGCTCATTTCTACTGCCTGCAATGACCTATTTCTACCTTTTTAAAGTGCTTTTGTGAGTCCGTGCGCGGTTGCAGCTGTGCTGGCCCGTGCGCTGTCACTTGGTAACGAAGCCTCTCCGTTCCTCCCCTCTTGCAGACCATCCACGGCCACAAGGGGCCCATCACGGCGGTGGCGTTCGCGCCCGACGGCCGCTACCTGGCCACGTACTGCAACCAGGACAGCCACCTCTCCTTCTGGCAGGTAAGGGAGCCACAGCCGGGACCTTTCCTTGTGTTGTGAGGAGGGGAAACGGGCAAAATCGCGGCGTTTCTTTGTCCTTCCCTGGAATCCAGCCGAACCTCCCCGCTCCTGCCCTCCCGTTAGTGCCCGTGAACAGGTAGGTCCCGACACACGGAGCCGGGAAGCTCCCTCGGCTCCCTCCTCATTCCCTGGCTCTGGAGGAGCATCCCGGGCCTCTCCGCAAGGGTTTGCCCAGGCTGTTCAGTTCAGCTTGGGGTCCCCCTCGTTACCAGCTCTGCGTTTTCAGCTGCTTCCCGGAGTAATTCAGTAGTTCTACAGGTGCCATTCCAAAGTATTAAGTTATTATCCCTCACTCTGTAGCGAGCTCTCGGAAACTGTAAACGAGAGCTCAAAAACATTCTTCCATCAGTTTAAATACTCAGGGCAAATCTGGAAAGCAATCGGACTTCTTGATTTGATTTTTTAACAGATCTTTTAAAACTGGGGGGAAAAACCAGTCTGCATCGAGTCGTGAATCGAAGGGGTGATTTTGCCACACTCCTTCCAGGTGTATAAACGTTCAACTAGCTTTTACATGAAGGGTTAAATACACCCACACACCTAGTTCTAAAATGTGACCTCGTGCACTAGTGATTTTTCCCCTTCTGCGTTCTATTTGGCACCATTATTAATGCAGGAAAATCAGAAACATTAGTCATCTTAAAAGGGTTATTACTCAAGATGATTTAAATGGTGGAAATGTCAGCGGCGCTCGCGTGCCCCCGCTCCCGGTGCCGTGATTTACGCCCGGGCTCCGCGGGGCCCGCAGGATCCCGGGAGCTGCTCTTGGGAATGTGGGATGGGAGTGTGGGAGCGCGGAGCGCTCCGCTCCCGGCTGCTGTTCCGCGTGGGCAGGAGCTGCTCGGAGAGCCCCAATTCCCGGGATCGGGCTGGAAGGGGCCTCTGGAGATGGTCGTGTCCGGGCCCCTGCTCCAGCAGGGACACCCGGGACACAGGGGGGTGTCCCGGGGGGCCTTGGATGGGAGCATTGGGATTTGGAAAGGAGCAAAGGGACACCCGAGACCCTCCTTCCCTGTGCCTGCATTGCCGGCAGCTCGGCCGTTGCTGGGCCTTTCTCACGTAAATATAATCTTATTAATATTCCACACTCTACCCTGGAATGTGGAGTAAATTCCGCATTACTAGAGGCACAAATAAAGCAGAGGGGGCGCTTCCAAAGCACCAAGGCCGCGTGCTCTTCCTCACGGAGTCCAATGTCACAGCCCGCTTCCCGACGGGATGGATCCCGTATCCCCGTCCCCATCCCGTGCGCGCTCCGTGGCCCGGCGGGAGAGGCACCTTCCCGCTCCCGCGTGATCCGGAGGGGCTGGCGCCCTTGCTGCTGGCCAGAGGAGAGGACAGGAGAATCCCTGCACGGAATAGCGGACTGGGAATGGGGTATTTATACACAAAGGCTTTTCTTTTTTTTTTTGGGCTGCAAATGTGGATATTTATTAAAACCAAAAAGACTTTTTTTTTTTCTGTAAGTCGCTCCCGTTTGTGCTGGAGCTTGCAGGGGAGGCAGGGGCTGCGTGTGCAACTGTGACACGCTCGCCTGGCCACCCCGATGGAGGGGAGCTTGGAAGGGGAGTGCACAGAGTGGGTGTGCAAGGAGAGCGTGCAAGGGGAGTGCACAGAGTGGGTGTGCAAGGTGGGTGTGCAAGGGGAGCGCACAGAGTGGGTGTGCAAAGTGAGTGTGCAAGGAGGGTGCACAGAGTGGGTGTGCAAGGAGAGCATGCATGGGGAGTGCACCATGGAGCGTGCAAGGGGAGTGCACAGAGTGGGTGTGCAAGGTGGGCGTGCAAGGAGGATGCACAGAGTGGGTGTGCAAAGTGGGTGTGCAAGGAGAGCATGCAAGGGGAGTGCACAAAGGAGCGTGCAAGGGGATCGTGCAAGGAGAGTGCACAAAGTGGGTGTGCAAGGGGAGCGTGCAAGCCCTTGAGGGCGAGGCGACAAGCGTCGCAATTCCCCGGGAGAAATCCCCAAAAGCCCTGTAAAAGGAAAGCCATTCCAACGGGTCCATGGCAAGAGTTTCCTAGCTAGGAATATTCCCCTGTAAGATTTGCCGTAACTGTGTTTCCTTCTTGGTACATATCTGATTTTGTGAAATATTTAACAGTGCGAAAATGTTTATGCTCGCGGTAAAAGAAAACGCCTAAAATGCTGTTTTATTGAAGCATATGGCTGTATATGTTTGTATAGCTTTCTCTGCCGTGTCGTCCAAGTGCTCGCAGAAGGTGCCTGTCTTTACGTGATGCAGTGAGAACGATACCTGCAGAATCCTCTCTCCTCCCAAAGAGAATAAATGCATTTTTAAAACGGCTGCTAAATATAAAAGCATTGATTTTTGGGTTCTTTTTTAAGGTGGTCTGTATAGTAGCGTGCAGGAATGGGAGATTCACAGTGCAGAAGCTGCGTGGCTCTTTGCTGCTTAAAAGCAATAACCAAAGGGAGCGATTAGGACTGCTGGGAATGTCGGACACAAACTGGAGCCCTCCGTGTGCTCCGGCCGGGTGGGAAAACCCACACGAGAGTCACGGGAACTGGTAGGGAA